CATATTTGTCAATCTCATTGGCCCATTGGTGCAGGACTTCTATACTAATATGACTGTGTGTTGACCCCAATGGTTAGGTACTTACTTAAAAACCAATGTTGTTGTTCGTTTTCTATGTTATCATTATACGCACAGTGGTAAATTTGAATCGACCAATCAGAAATGCCTACATGGGAAATAATGTATAGGATGCATCCGGGAGTAGGGGTATAACTCTCACCCCTAACAAAAGATTTGAGATTTTTTTTGTGTATCACGCGTAATAATTTTATACTGATTAGATGAAATAACAAAATTTCTTAAAAACTGTGACTATAACAATTTTTAAAAAGATTCTATAATCCATACTTGCATATAAAAAGCCATAACTTCAAACCAAGATACTATTTTTATTTATTTTTTTTTTTGTCATACTACACCTACATCATCATACTTTCTCGATATTCTGCCTACAATAGTGCCGCACTCGTCAGCAGTATCGGTTTTATTTATTTACACTAGTCGAACATCGGATATATTATTTCGCAGACCACGACGACGGCGACGATGATATTATTATTGTTATAGTGACAACACGTGGCGTGCAGTTTACTCGGACATACCGCAATACCAGAATTGTTTTCGGTACCCAAACGCGATATAAAATACAGAACATTTTATGTGCGTACGTCCGTCCGTCCGTATGTACGTGTGTGTGTGTGTGTGTGTGTGTGTGTGTGTGTGTGTAGAAGATAACGACGATCGCGCATTATATAGTTTAGCTCCGAAACGACCATATGGCCGGCAGAACACCCGGTCGGCGGTCTCGTTTTACACCGAAATTAAATATTACAATATTATTATTATTATTTTACGACTGTTCGCCAAAATAATCTTCGCCGTCCGTAATAATAATACGATGGCGCCCGCGGTCGTGGCGGCGATTCTTTAAAAATGCGAGACACACGTGCTGCGTTATCGTCACGTCGGTATACGATCCGTTTCGATCTTTCCGGGCGGTGTCGAGTATTTTAACAGCGTCGTTATAACATATTGTTATTATTACGCCACACTGTTCGGTTATCACACGGAATAAGTAGTGTTTCGTGGCCGATTCCAGAATCGTTTTTCGAATTCGTCATTTATAGTTCCCCGCTATCTGCGGACGTGTTACGTTTATGTGGGCACTATATGGTTTAGGGATCAAAGGTGAATTGCGAATTCGGAAGAAGAAATAATTAACGATTGCATAGAAAAACCGAATTCCAAAACTGCAGCTATGCACACAAAAACGAGAGACGTTTATCGTGTACCTATTTTATTACTCGTATAAAAATTTCGCAGCGTATTCGTTCTACCGTTGCCATTAAATAAGCCACAGCCGAATTATGCTTTTCCTCTGTATGACGACCGAAAAATTATATCGTGTCTTCACTTGAATCGCTCAGAAGTTCTCAATATCCACTAAGAAATAACTATAGATATGATATCAACGGAGTCATCAATAGATTTCCGACAAATTATATTCAATTTTGTTTCCAAAGAAATTTTGAAAAATATAATATATACACTGTCACGATATCGCACTGGCAGTACAATAGGGCCACAACTTGAAATTTATGATTTTTGCGTTTATGGTGTCTATGAATATGTAATTTTTTCTCTTTTTTGGAAGTGGTGCCATCTATCTCATTATATAAGTATTAATAATATTTGCCAAAAACCCCTTTTCCATTGAGCGTGTATGTTAGATTCCTAAGTACAATTTGGCCGTAAAACGAATTGTGACTCGTTTTCGCATGTTTCTAGAGTCAGAACAATATTAAGGCCGTACATTGAAATATGGTGTTTCATTATTGTTTTGTTCGGTGAAAAAAATTGTCGTTAAATTCTAAAGATTCTTATTGATATCCAGAACATTGGCCTTTTTTTTAAGTTACGGCCTATTGTGGTGACAACGCGATGTACTTACACTGTGAACTCAAACCGCATTATGTTTGCTGTGTACATGGAAAAAATCCTCACCCCGAATCGGAAACTTAGATCCGAGCCAGATTATAACGACTATCGAAGAATAGGTATTTCTGTACACGTACGGACCTATGTATACAGTTCGTAAGTCTATGTTCGAAGGCCAAAGGATACGGACACGTATACGCGGACATTATTGCGCGATGCCAACGGCAGTGTTAAACAACGGCAATTACACGGCGCGTGCCGGTCGCGTTTCGAGTAGATTTTCACCGAAACAGTCGATAAAACGTGTGTTGCCCGTCCGAGTTCCCGGTGATTAACTATTCGATCGCTCGCGAAAATAAAAATAGAAAATAATAACAAACACTAAAAAAATCGGTCGACTTCGCTCGTCGTCGCCGTCGCAAAGGCCGCCGCGTCTCGATACACGTAATAACAATATACGGTGTGTAAAAATAATATTGTTACGCGGTCGGAACGCACTGCGGCGGTCTCGGAGTCTGATATATTGTCACTATGATAGAAAAACAAAACGAAAAAAAAAAAAACCCGCGTACAGTTACGCGCGTATTATATTAGAGTAAAGCAAAACAGATGTGCCGGGGGCCGTGTGACAAGAAACACCCCTCGCCGGGGCGTCTAATTAACGTCGTCGACCGGAGTCGGATAATATATGTATAAGGTTTCCCCCCCTCCCCGACGAAAGACCGTAAAAATAATAATAAAATTAATATACAGTAACACGGTCGCGTATATATTAATTTAATGGTTTTTATTTTTTCTTCTTTTTTTGGTTTTTTTCTTTTTCTTACGCGTTCTCGCGGCGGTCCGTCATTGCTTTTTGCCGCCGCCACCGCCGCCGCTGTGCCGGACGGAGAAAAATGTCTGTAACGAGAAATTTATTGGGTTTTTACCGTTTTTGCGGCTCGGTTGCGGCACCGCGCGCCTATATAGTCTTTTGCCGTTTTTACGGCATGCCGGGCACGCGGATTTTCGACGGATTTCGCGGATCCGAAAAATCTTAAAAGTTCCCTTTCCTCCTACGACCGCCAACCCGGTCCCATCAAAGGCGGGATCGGTTCGCATAAAGCGCCGTTCGCGCGGCCGCCGCCGCCGACTCTGTGCCGAATCCTCTCTCCCCTGCAGTTTTTCCTCGGCTGATCCATAATAATATTATCTGCTTTTCTCTCGCGATCCGTCTCCCGTCCTCTGCAACACATCGCTTTTATTAATTTTTGTATTTGTTTTTTTTTTTTTTTTTCATCACGTGTGTTGTATTATAACGATTTATTACTATCCTTATATTATATTCGCATACCAAGTAAATATATCCATAGACACATCATAATATACCGACTTGATGTATAATAAACAATTATTACCACCATTTTCGACCATTTTACACTGTTGATACAAAATTTTTTTCGATTTTATTCAATCGGTTTGTCCCCGAGGGAGGAAAGTCGAAATGGAGAAATATTACATTTTTTATTTTCACCAAAAAAACAAAAAAAAAAAAATTAACTTTATTTGTTCATTTTAAAAAATTTTCAAAATTGTTATTGGTTCTTTTTATATTTAGGACATGAAAATAAAAATGTAATTTTTAAATTCAAATATATGTATATACATAAATTATACACATATACTGATTTTTTTTTTAATCTAAACCGTTTGCAATAAGTTAAAACTAAATAAATTTTCTCTAAAGAATTTCACAGAATACGAGTGCGTGTTCGGCTTATAAAAATGCACAATAGGGTTTGCATAGGGTTTATTATTATTAATTAAAAGACAAAAATAAATAGCAAAAACGTTATAGACATCTGATTTAAATATTTTATAATATAGGACTATAGAAATACAAAACGAAAAAAAGTAGCAGCCGGGTAACACCTTAACTTGAAGGCTGGGTGACTATCCGTTTGGACCGCGTATGCCGGGAGTTTAGGTATTCGGTCGGCTTTGAAGCCAGTACAGCTGTTTCCTGAAATCCGCAAAAAATTTAGAGCGCAGGGCGTGAAAAACGTCCCAGTGCAGGATAACGCGGTGACGGTGATAACGTCGTGCGTCGTGATGCTATTCGCTAGTTGACAGAGCCGACGGACTTCGCCGACGAAGTTGGTCCCGTAGTCCGGGTCAAAGAGACCGCCATGACGCTTCGAGACAATTTTGTACCGTAACGCCGTAACGGACAGGGCGTAAACGAACCCGACGCGTGCGACAGGGCGGCACTGGAGGGCTTCCGGCGACGTGGATTGGACGCACAATGAAGTTCGTAGCGCGTGTAAAGGAAAGCATTAGAAAACTATATATAGGGCAAGGTCTCACTCATTTTACACATTTTAACCCGTACAGCCCTGAGAAACTGTACGGTTAATGAACGACTGGGAGTAGCGGAGTGAGAGCCTTTGCTGCCGGGTGACGGGCCACGATAGAGCCGCTTACGGATGATATTAGGCGCAAGCACGAAAACCGGCCGCCTCCGGCTTCCAATAGCAATAATTTTGTTAAGTAGGAACACAAAACGGACTGCCTTATTAGACAAGGAAAATATAATGAACATCTAGGAGATTTCGATTTAGATGAATTTATACACATTTTGGCAAAACAAAAAAGAGAACCAAATTAAACATCTAAACTCGAAAAAGGAAAATGATTAAATATACACACAACGAGTACGGAATATGGCAAACTGACAAAAGAGGAATAGTCGCGGCCAGCGATATTTTTTTTGATAAACCAATAGATTAGTTTAGTTAACATCTAGAACATCGGGAAGAAGATACAATAGCAACAACGATCAATGAATTACAGATAACTGATCGAATAGAAAACCTACAATCAATAAGCAAGGACCGAGCAGAAAATAAGAAAAACGATACACAACAAATTTCGGAAAGTAAAAGCAAAAAAATAGTTAGATACAAAATAATGAGTTGATTTGAGTTATTACGTTGAAATGTATAGGACACAGATAATTTTAACTTACTTAATTTTTACTTACATCGTTGTGAGTCGATAAAGCCGCTGCGTTTTATCGGTATCTATACGTTGTCATAACGGCCCACGTAATAGTGGTATAATAGTAAAGATCGAAAAGTGATTCGACTGGACACGGGGCTGGGGATTCTAGCAGGTGGGTTTTTAATTGACACTACGGAATGTGTGTAACCAGTTTCGGTATTCAATGAGGAGGGTACGTTGCGAGAGATTTGGACTATAGGAAGAGGTTTGTAGAGGAAGGTGTGGGTTAAGATTCTGAGCATAAGTTTTTCGCTATTGATACCTGATTTCATGTTATGATTTAAGTTATCGGGCAGGGGTTTGCGAAAGATTGAAACTTCGGTGGTATTGGGTACAGGTTTTATGATTTCCAGTGGTAGGAATTTGTCTGCCGAATCAGGATGTACATTACCGGTAGCGATATTTGGAGAGGAAGGTTCGATTTCAGGTGGAGGAATGTGGGGTAATATATTGTTTAAAATGCTTTGTAGCAGGTTTTTGGTGGCGTGATTATTAGAGGAGGGTTTGTCAGAGCTTATGATTTCTGGTGGAGGTATGTGGAGCAGTATGTGTTGTAAGATTTTGGCAGCGATATCGGATTGTGTGATCTCGGGGACGGTTGTGCAGAGAGTTGTTAAACTGTGCGCATAGCCTACTTGAACCTTCGGTTTCAAACCGTCCATTGCCATGCGATCGACGCCCGTGTTAGCAGGACCGTCACCTGCAGCGAACCTCATTTCCATAGTCTGCCGGTTGGCGCCTGGTGCGGCGGAGAATTGTCGAGTCAAAGACGACACAATGACATAAGTGAGCGGTCGTTCCGGACGGAGCTCTGTGATAAAAACTGTCGTGAACGACCTGCCGCTCACGGTGATCATCATTCGGTTAAGCGATCCGCCACAGGGTACCGTAATAATCGAGTTAACGATTAACCTTGGCTCGTATACGGGACCCAACAAAACCTTTTTCGCCTCCTGCCGGGTTCTGGCCAAGACGATCGTTCCGTCTTCAAAGACCGTCTTGTATTCGCCAATAGCGTCGTAAAATTCATCCACGCATTGCGGTTTCCTTCGCAATACAGTGTAGTAATCTTTTGCGAATCCAAATCCGATGATAGCCGCGTTCTCGGTAATTGTTAACGGGTCATCCATCGTAACGTTTCCGGAAATCTCACTGCGTTTTGAAGAAAATGTATACAAAATTGTGTAAAAAAATAATATATTCTTTTCACAATCGTGTATTTTCTTTTTCGAATTGTAAATTTCAGTTATCGGATACAATAATCTGTTTATAATAATAACACGGTTGTTGTTGGTTAGTAACGAAATTAATATTCGAGGTCTATTAGTTATTTTTTGATTTTAGCTCAGGTAGACCGCGTTTTCGATAGCCATTCGCAGCGGTATGGCCACGAATTTTCGAAGGGATCGGACGTGCTATAAAAAAAATAAATTGGTATATAATCACATATGTGCGACTGGACCACGGGAGTATTGGTACCTTAAAGCTGGATTATTTAAAAAAAGAAAAGAAATGTCTAGTTTATCGAGCTTTAACTCGATGTTTGGCTGAAATATATGTTTTTCAGTATTAAATTACTACTCACGTATATTGTTTTATTTGCAAACCAACGAGTGGTGATTTTCTGCACGAAGACGATTCAGTGAACGTCACCGATATTCAACAAACTAATTTATTGCATTTAAAGCAATTTTCAATTAAATTAAATAGGCATTTCTCAAAGACATTTGTGATTATATCAAGGGTTTGGAAATCCTTTCACTGTTTCAGTTTAAGAGTTAAACTCCAATACGCTTCTTGAAATTCAGACTGTTGAAATTTCTTTTAATAAAACACAATAAAATTAACCCAATATTATTTTGTGATTTGCAGTATATAATGAATCGCCAGGATTGTCCTTAAATGTGATAAAAAAAAAAACTATTTATTTTTTCAATTAGTTATTTATATGATAAATTCTTTGCACACTATGACCAATATTAAAACGATACAATGGAACAGATTAGATGACACACATGGCATGTGCATCAGTTTATTTTGAAATTGTACCTCAGTGGGAAATATCATGCTAACAACATTCGAAACCAGCCGTCACTCTAAATCTCATTGAAATTATTTTATCATCATATTATATTAGTTTTTTGTGTTTTATTATTAACTACTCATATATTTTTTTTTGGTTGTAGATGCACAAACAATAAAATAAAACCAAAATATATAGTTAAGTAATGTTTTTATTCCCACTTTTATTGAAATTATTAATCTTATATTGTAAATACCATTTAAAGTAAAAAGCTATTTAATTGTTTTTTTTTTTTTTTTTACTTGAAAAATCGAAGTTATGATAACGATAATATACTGTGATAAATATGATTTGAGATTATTGTGAAACGTCTACTATAATTAAATACAAATAAATTTTTA